TTATAATAAGAAGAATAAATTATTCGAATAAAGATTGGGGAAAAATGAATGGAAATACATTTTGTTTTGTTTGTTTTTACCAGATCAAGAAATAATAAAATATATAATAAAAAATAAAATAAGAAGAAGAAGAAAAATAAATGAAACGTTCGAAAGTATCGGAGGACAGTTTTGTAAAAATATTTTTATTCAACAAGTCACCTTTTGCACAGATTCGATTGGTGTTAATGATTATTATTCGTTTTTAAATTATGAGGAAATTCAATACTTTGTATGATTATTTGCCCGATTACATGCTACGCGTATAAAATACACTCGTCTTCCGTCTAACATGAGTTAGACGGGAAAAAAGAAAAAAAAGAGGAAAAGAAAAGTCAAATGTAAAATGTAAAATGTCGTGGTGGTGGTGGTGGTGGGGGGGTGGGGGGAATACACATATTATTAAAAGGCAGCAAGCGCATCGGATTAAAGTTTGATTGAATTCTCCTCTGTCGGTCAACATCGATTTGCTTTCTCATGCGAATCCATACAACGACGACGACGAATAAGACAATTGTGCAATTTATTTTTCCTATAATATTAATTCTCGTATCACATTGTAATTTAACTTACAATGCAAATTCGATGTTTCGATAACGTTGTTTCGGACTTTGGTGATATTTTTCAATTATTTTCTGTGTTACATTATTAATTCATATTTATTATTATTTATGATCATTTATATTTGATATATGTGGTGGGGGAATACGTTATTACGTTTAATTGTTTTATAATTAATCGACAAAATTTATATATTCAATGGATACAAAAGATATAGAAATGAAATCATCTGTAATAGAAGTATCTACAGGTAAGATTATTAAAAACAAAAATATATTGTAGAAATTTGAAATTCAATTATTTTCTGTGTTACGACAACAATTCGTTCGATTATATTTTTTAACTGCAGATTTATCTAACGAAATTGATTTGGAACGAAGCGTACAACTTGCCCTTAACGAGACAGGTTCGTGTTATATTGTATTTATATTACTTCATAAAAATTAATTATTTATTTTTTGTTTTTTTCTTTTTCTTTTGCATAATCATGTTACATATGTATTAATTCGTTTTTAATTTATTTTTATTTAAATACTTGTTTATATATTATTCGCAATTAGGTTTTGGAAAATTTAATCTGAAGGTAATGGTCCTTTGTAGTCTAGTTTATGCAAACACAGCACTTAGTATATGCAGTATCGGATTTATTCTTCCTTCCGCAGCATGCGATTTTCAAATGAGTACTATCGACAAAGGAAATATCAATATAATATCTTTGATTGGTAATAAATTGTATAGACTATCAAAAAAAAAAAAAAAAAAAAAGAAATGTGTTCTTAAACGAGAATAAATTTTGTTCAATTTAATTTTATTAATTGTTTTTTTTTTTTTAATAGTAATTCAAACTTAAAAAGAAATACGCAAGGTTATTGTGAAAGATCCACGGTTTCACAATGCATTAACGAAAAGTATAAAAATAAACAGTGTGTTCTAAATAAAAATACAGACAACAATTGCATTCAACACACAAATTGAGAACAATAGATTTGAAATTTATTTCTAAGAAAAAGTACAAAATTAAATACTAGAACACATACATAGTTTAACGTTTATTGTTAAAAAAAATTGAAAGAAATTATTGAAACTGATGTTCGAACGTAGAAACAAACAACAATCTATGTGTGTGTGTGTGTGATTCGAATATTAAATCGAAATAAATATTATTCAATAATTATCTAATTTCCATTTTCGTCTGTTCTTTATTTTCATAGCGGAAAATATATATTCGCAAAAAAATATGTCCGATAATTAACGCACAAGTCTTACAACGTAACGTTTGTTCAACTGTTCGAAGAAAATAATTTACATGCGTCTAAAATTCTGATAAAAATATAATTGCGAATATTAAATCAATCTTTGATGATTGATCTTTTTTTTCCTCAGACATTATCTTTTAGTTTCAACAAATAAATGAAAAATAAAAATGATAAAAATAAAAAAGATAAAAATATACGGTTTGCCATAGTTGTTATGAATCGTGAGACCACACTTTGTGGATTAATCATTTGCGATACTATTTTTGTAATACATTTATATTCAACACATTAAGATATAAATAAATATTAAATTATTATTCATTAATGAATAAAATTAAATTGAACCAAATATATTCTTATTTATAAAATAATTTACAGGACCAAGTTATATAATTTTAATTAATGATTATATTTATATATATATATATACAGGAATGGCAGCAGGGTGTTGGTTTTGGGGTTGTTATGCCGGAATCAAAGGTAGAATAAACACTTTAAAAATTTCATTATTTCTTCAAGGAACGTTCGAATTTTTATCTGGCATAGTACCGAATTACGGATTCTTCTTATTATTCAAATTTCTTAGCGGTTTTTCGTGAGTAATTTTCATTGTTTATATTTATTTCCAACAAAAATATTATTCATCGCGTTATAAAATATGAAAAGATTTTTCATGTTAATTGCGAAAGATAATAAAAGTAATTCCCATTAAAAGTGTGGATAATTAAGTAAATAAATAATTAAGCAAAAGTTATATATTTTTGTAGGATAAGCGGACAAAGTGGGACACTTTTCGTTTATTTAGGTGAATGTCAACCAACAAAATACAAAGAGAAATTACTTTCTTGGTTAGAAATGGCATGGACATCGGGTCTTATCGCTGCACCAGGTAAAAATCATTCAACATTATTTTTATTAAAATTCTATTTATATTTTATTTTTACGTAATATTTCTCCGTTAGTTATTCCTATTTGTCTTTCGTTCGTTTAATCAATTACTATCCATATAAGATTATTTTCAATTAATTTTTACAGTTATCGGTTGGCTCATCATACCATTGCAATTCGATATCAATGTAAAACCATTTACATTTAATTCTTGGAATTTATTCGTCGTAATATGTTCCCTACCATCGTTAACAATCGGCGTTTGGTCATTGTATTTCAACGAAAGTCCCAAATTTCTTTGCGAAAATAAACAAATGTCAGAATTGTCTGTTCTACTTGGAAAAATATATACGGAAAATACTGGAAAACCCGAAGAAACTTATTTCGTTAGTATTTTTTTTATATAATATCATATACAATTATCTCATTATTTCAATTTCAATTCTATGCAATAAATTTTGTTTATATTTTAACAGGAAATACTTGGCAAAAGTAAAAATCCTTTGTACGATATTTTGAAAATGAATAATAATTATCAAAATTCTAACGATAATAATAAAATCAAATCTTGGCGAACTATAATATATACTACTTATATACAAACAATATCTCTTTTTAAATTACCACACGTTATGAAAAGTCTCAACGTATTTGTTTTAATATTGTGTATTACGGCTTCTTATTATACATTGATGCTTTGGTTTCCGGAATTGTTTCAAAGGTTCGCTAAATATGAAAAAATGTATCCAGGAAAAAGTTCGAGCATATGCGAAATTTCCAAAATAAATCTACTGGATAACAATAAAACATTGGCGAGTAAATGCAAATGATACCATTTATTATAATACGGAGTGTCGGATGTTTTTTTTACTTTTTTTTTATAAATGTTATTATAACATATATTACGTTGACAACGTAATTTGTATAGAAAAATATTCGACATTGCGTATACGTTCCATAATTCTAATTACAAAAAAAAAAAGGAAAAAAATTATACTATTTTATTTTTTATTTCAGGTATTAGAATACGATATATACGATTGCCAAAATAATATTCACGATAATGTATTTTTCCATACACTTCTTGTAGGATTGGGTTGTTTGCCATTGAGTATTATTCTACCCCTCACTGTTACATACACGGGTTATAAAATTTATATAAGTAAATATCCTTCTTTTTTTTTTTTAGTACTAATTTTTATTATATTATTAATTTGATAAAAGAAAAAAAACATCCTGATTTCGATGTTTCAGTAATTTGCACATTCCTCTCTACTATAGTAACCATAGGATTTTTCTTTATAAGATCATCAACACAAAATCTCATACTCTCTAGTATCTTTGAAGCTTTAACGTCTGTATGCTTAAGTATAACACTCTGTATAATTGTTGATATCTTTCCTACAAATTTAAGGTATGAAAATTTTGTTTTTACATTTTTTTTTTTGTAACAAAGTTCTACAAAGTTCTCACTGTACGTTGATTTATTTTAATTAATTACAGAATGATGGCAGCTTCTCTAGCTGCTTTCTGTTCTCGTATTGGAGCATTTGCAGGAAATTGGATATTTGGTTATTTAATAGATAATTATTGCCTACCATTGATACTTATAGTAGCATCACAACTCTTTTGTACGTTTTATTGTATTATTTTTTACTCTATTATCTTTTTACAATTATATATTTATATACATATTTCTAACTTTTACTATTTTGTTTTTAGTTTGCACAATACTCAGCTTTTTTACTCCTGGAAGATTCGGAGAAATGAAACAAACGAATATAACATAATTTCAAATATTTCATTACAACATTATATGTATATTGTTACAAACAAATTATATAGAATAAATAATTACTATTTCTCATTTTACATACACGTAACATATTAACAATTCAATTTAAATTTCGCGCTTATTTGTCTTATTAAATCTAACCAATAATTGTACAGAAGTGTATATGACGTCTATACTCGACCAATCATGAAACAGCATTACATAGTAAACTAAAACGCAGGCGCAGTAAAACGAATAGATATCGATAGTATATTATTATTTTTGACAGAAAGAGTATAACGTGTTATATCTTATCGTTTTGGAAATGATTTTAATAATAATTCATAAATTAACATTGAAAGTTTTATAAAATGAATCTAGTTTATATACAATATGAAATCGCAAGATGATACAACATATTTTATAGGAACGCGATTAATGATTTACATAGTAAATATAAGTCCACGTTATAGAGTATCAACAAAACCTCCTTCCGTAACATCATTTTGATGTACGAAACATATATATTTTATGAATTAATTTAATAGATTAATCGTTTACTTTTATACCGTGGCCATTCTGTGTCTAACTTTAATATACAATTTTTAAACATATATAAAAAAAAAAGATATTTTGAGGTTATAGTTCGACCAGTATTTATATATGTACAATTATATAAATCATATTTATAATAACAATTGTTGTTTACAATTAATGAAGATAAAAAAAAACGCGTGGCTTGATAAAAATAATTAAAATAATCAATTTAAATTGAATCTAACGAACGCCGCAAAAAATATATTAATAACTTTATCAAATCAAGTTTGATAGATGAAAATAGAAAATGTCTTTTCGTATGAGATTAGCTCGTAGTCGACCGATTAAATTACTTGGTGGAATCGCTATGAAACGTTGGATATTTTCTGGTGCATACATTCTGTTCCTCTTTTTATTATACTGGTTTTACAGCTGTATTTTTGCTTTCTGCTTGCTATGTATTACTACTGTAGGTTAGTTTCTCTTTTTATATAAAATGTAACGTTTACACTAAATTATAAATAATTCTTGTTTATTTGAAAGAGATATGATATGAATCCATTAAATCATTTTTATAGTTGTATTATATCACAGAGAGGATCAATTACTTTATCATCCTGGATCACCAACTCATTCTCGTTCTTACGTTCCTGCCCCTTCTACGTACAATTTGCCATATGAAAGTATATACACGCGTTCAGGAGATGGTACTATGTTGCACATGTTTTTCATACCTCAACCTGAAGATAGAGCAAAGATTGCTCCAACCTTACTTTTTCTACATGGGAATGCTGGAAATATAGGACATAGGTCAGACCATTTAGAAAGAAAACTACTCTCATTTGTCTTCATTCTTCTTGAAACATACAAATTAGTCTATGATGTATGTTGTAAGCAGACTTCATAATGTTGTTGGTCTCTACCGTAATATTCAATGCAATATCCTAATGCTGGAGTATAGAGGCTATGGATTGTCACAAGGATCACCATCCGAGGAAGGATTGTACATGGATGCTCGTGCAGGAATTGATTATTTAGCTTCCAAACCCAATATTAACACTAATGAAATTATTGTATTTGGTAGATCATTGGGTGAGTCGTATGTCTGATCTCATTTAAATAACAGTAATAATATATAATGATTCGTATTAATCTTATAAAGGTGGAGCAATAGCTATTGATTTAGCAACTAGGGAAGAAAATGCAAGAAGAATTTGGTGTCTTATACTTGAAAATACATTTACAAGTATTCCTGACATGGCAGCATTTGTAGGATCCAAATTTTTCTTATATCTACCACTTTTTATATATAAGAATAAGGCACGTTAATTTCAAGATTTTATCACATTATTCTAAATATTAATCTGATTTTGTCTTACTCCTTTATTTTTGTTTTGTTTTGTTTGTTAATGATATTATTATCTCGTTGTTGCAGTATTTATCTAATTTCAAAATACGATCGATGACAGTACCAACATTATTTATCTCTGGCTTAGCTGATACATTCGTACCACCGGGAATGATGCAAGAACTTTATAAAAATTGTCAAAGTAGATGTAAGAAGATTCTTCCAATTTCTGGTGGTACACATAACGAAACATGGTGTCAACCTGGATATTATGAAAATATATGTTCTTTTTTGAATGAACTGAGAGAAAATCCATCGATTCCAGTAAAATCAGGTGAATGGCAGATAGATGATATTTAGAAATCGATCTATAAATGAAATGCATTTTGCGTCCAAGTGTATAAAAATATTCTAAAAAATGTCCAATACAATATCAATGTAATTAAAATAAATAAGGTTGGTCCAATAAGGTAAAATGCATCATCTATTTCTATTTTTATCGTTGATTCAATGACAAATATGTCTTTTTATTTTTAGTTTCAATTTCTTGACGCAATAATCTTTAACGATAAGTAAATCATTTTATAAATATTTTAACGAGATACAAAAAAAAAAGCTGAGATTTATTAAATATAAATTATACAAATATTTTTCTTATAAATGAATATTTTTGATCTGATGCTTATTTAAAATCTTCTATTCTTACGAGATCTTTTTTTTTCTAACTTTTGAGTCAATAAAATTCCGATTACAAAAAGAACGATTAATACTAAGATAGCACTGCCTAAGATCGCTAATAATCCAGGACTAGATTCAATTGTTATTACTTTCTTTTCTGACACTCCTTCGATGTGTACCATATATTTTTCTGAAAGATTGGATAATTCAGATATGTCGTCACAAAATATTTTTTTCTTCCACTTGTACCAATGTACCATTCTTTTATTCGATAGACTCAGAGGAGTTGCGCATCTATTAACAATGTAAAAACATTTTCAATTTCTTACAATAATATAATTATCATTAAGGAAAATTATTATTTAATACCTTAAATTATTCAAAATGCTTGGATTTATAACATAAAGTTGTGGTATTAGATCACTTAACATCCATTGTAAGGAACAGTCGCATGCAAATGGGTTTCCTTGCAAATTAATGCCATTATTTATTTTAAGAGTACCGTTAGATGATAATAACAATTTTGGAGATATGTAGTTAATTTTATTGTTACTTAAATCTACCTAGAAGACAAAATAAAGGAGAATTTTTATTTATAATAAAAAAATAATGTCAAGAATAAGGAGGAAACGAACACATATCATTGCAATTGATAGTTGAACCAAAATGTACTTACGAAACATGCATTCATATGATCCAAAGCTCTCTCATCGATGAAGATTAGCTTCTCATTATTAGATATTGTAAGATTAATGCAATCATTTGTAGGTGCTTCCAATTTTAAGAACGTATCATAATTTATTTTTTCAACAAATGTAATATTATTTGCGACGAATGATTGTAATTTTAATTTAGAGTACAATGTTAAATTTTTAATTGGATTGCCACTGACAATAACTGTGTTAAGTGATGGATAATTTTCTGATGATAAATGTATCGGAATATGAGAAAAATTATTATTAGAAATATCTAATACTTTTAGTCTTCGAAGTGTCATATTTGGAAAATTTGATAAATTATTTCCACTTAAATGTAAATGTTTTAACTGAGAAATATTAGTAAAGTTAATATTTGCTACGTGAATTTGAGACGGTTCAGAAAGTAATCTTATGATCTTATTGTATCCTATGTTTAATTCAGTTAAATTTGTTGGCAATTCATTAAAATTTATTAACGAGAGGAAATTGTTACTTATCATAAGTATTCTTAAATCAGGAAGTTGCAAAAAAGTATTTTCAGAAATTGAAGTGATTTTATTAAATGATAAATTTAAGTATTGTAAGTGCACAAATGCTTTTAAAAATGCATCGTCAATAAAAGTTATATTGTTGTGAGAAAGATCAAGAACAATTAAATTAGTAATAGGCGTGGACATAATTGTCGATTTAAGTATTTCAATATAATTATGACTCAAATTCAATTTCGTAATAGTTGATATTTTATCAAATATTATATTATCAAAAAATTTCAATTTATTATTTGAATAATTTAATTCATCTAAATTATTAGATTCTACTAATGCATCAATATACATTTCGGACAAAAAATTATCAGACAAATCTAACTTCTTCATATGCTTCAGTTTTATAAATATAGCTGATGAAATAAGCGTCAAATTGTTCTTCGATAAAATTAATTCTTGTACATTTTGATACTGATCTAACATTAATGAATTCATCTGAATTATGTTATTACTAGTAAGTAATTTTTCATGGCAATTAATAATAGCTTCTGTACCTGCAATATATGGATTAAATTAAAATTATACCAAATGCATAAGAATTTTTACATACCCTTGATAGAACATAAACATGTTGTACATATATCACTTTTACATTTAAATATAATATTTAAAAAAAAGAAAGTAATAATCCAACTATTGCGTAGAATATGATTCATAATGGAAGACATTTCATCGTGTATTGGTTCACAGTTACCTTCTTTAATATTACTCAAGTAATAGTAACTTTGACACATTCACCATTCTATCCACGATAACATATCTGATAACACTTCCAAGTAAATGATCACACATACACACACAAGTATCAATATCTTTAGATATCATTTATAGCTCAGAACGTTAAACTATCAAATTCAATTGAAAATTATTCAAACTTTTTATTTTACAAATATAAAAACTATAACTATTACAAACATTATAACTGGAAACTATCTATTTATTTATTATTGTAAAATTAAATTGAATAACACAATAGGAATGTTAATTAATAATTTTAGTATTAGAAGAAATGACAAATATTGGTATATATAATAATTTCAAACATGCATATACCTATATATTTGTTTTATTATAAAAAATAAATTAATTAAAAAATGATATATGCATATATATCAAAAATATTGAATAAAGCATTATATACTTTTTAAAAATATGATTTAATTACCTATATATATATAAACTCATTATGTACATTAAGATCTTTTAAAGAAACTCATTAACGTAGTTTGTTTCTTCTTGGTCTCTACTTTAGCAACATTTTTACGTTCTTCTTTTTCTTTGATTTCTGTCGTATCTTCTGAACAAGTTTCATATACGTGTTCTTTTTTAGTTACTAGAAAACCATCTTCTTCGTAAGTACGATCAACAACTTTAAGAATTCTTGCTTTACCATTATTATTTATCATAGGAGGAGGAGAAGGAGATTTCTTTAAATGATCTGAACTAATTATTTCCTCAACTTCTGGTTCTGATTCTGATATTACATGCTCATCTTCGCTTTGAGAATCACTCGAATCGTCTACGATTATACGTTTTCGTTTTTTAATTGTCTTATTTTTAGATTCCTTGCTACGATTTCGTTTTGTTCCACGTTTTTCTTTTACAGTTTTATTATTACTTTTATTATTATTTTTATTATTACTTTTATTAGGAATAACTTCTATCTCTGTATTATCTTCTATATCATCTTTCACATTATGATTTTCTTTCGTTTGTCCCTTTTTTGTTTCTTTTTCCTTAGGAGAATCTTGTATAACATTTGCATTTTTTCCAAAATAACTAGAAATACCTTTCTTCTCTTCCTTCTTGACAAATTGATTTTCTTTAGAAGATGACTTTGATTTATCAACGGATGTCTTTTCAGGAGTTATTTCTTTATTATTTTTAATATCTTTCGAAGTCGATGGTTTAACATTATTTTCCTTATTAGTGGCCCTTCCAAAAAGATTATTGAAGCCAGTTTTTTGCGACACGGGAACAGTTTTCTTATCCGTTGATTTTCTACTTGTCTGATTATTATTATGTTTAATTGTTTCAGAAATCTTGACTTCTTCGGGTTTATTATCTGGAGATTTTACATTATTTATTTTTGAAACAGGACGATCTTTGAAAAGTGATCCCCATCTTAAAGTAGACAATTCTTCATCACTACGTTCAATACTTTCGTTACATTTAATAGCACTAAACCTGACGTCTCCTTCATCATTTATAAACAGAAATTCTAAGTCAGGTATAGATTTTTGTATACTGTATAAATGTTCCGATATTATTTTATTAAATTTATCTTTGGCTGTATCCAAATTTGATTGTTTAACAACTTCTACCCGCATACCACCGGATTTTAAATAACCAATCAACATGACAGTGGATGTAATGTTATCTTCTTTTTGATGTTTCTGCCAAAATTCCCATAAGACTTGTTTTGCTATATTTACATGGACCTCCAATTCTTTGCTTAGCCATTTGTATGTAACCTGTATAAAAAAAAATGATAAGACATAAGTAAACAAATTATTAAAAACCGATCAGCGGAAACATTTTTCTAATTAACAATAATTTTGTTTTTACCACTTTATCATCGTCGTAAATGTAACCATTCAAAATTTCTAAATATTGATCCATAGCTTTTACGCTTATATTAAATTTAATCTATGTGATAAAACACAAACAATAATTTGTTAAATATTTATCACGATTAATCAACAAATTATTAAAATTGTACGTAAAATAAATGTAACTACATAGATATCCTATACTATATATACATATATATAAAAGATTACCACTGCACGCTATAACGATTAAATTTTAAACTAAAATATGTGATGTTATCAACAGTTGAACAGACAATATTTAAAGCAAGAGTAATCAGCACAACAAAATTGGTATATATTGCGCCATCAAATAGAGCGCACTATTAAAGCCGCTTTTATTTTATATTCATTTTTAATACAGGAATAAAATATTGAATGAGAATTATTCATTTTCTATTTTTTGTAAACATTCTTACTAAACGCACAATTTATATTTATATATGTATATACTATCGAGAAAGAATAAAACTTTAACGCCATCTAGGAATCGTATTAAAAAATATATTTCGATAGATGATGATCGATATATCGAAAATATTTTTCGACAAATGATAATCGATACATCGAATACGAAGATTAGTAGTTTACAATAACGGCCGCTGTAATCGCTGTTTTAATTTTATTTATAACCTAAATTTCTTCGATATATTGTACATAATAATTCCTGTTGTAAAGTATTTAAATCCTAATGAAAAATAGTGTTAAAATGTTTTTATATTAATTCTATTTCACATGACGTGTTGCAAGTTATTTATATTGAAAAATTGCAATGAAATAATTTTAAATATGTTTCTTGCGCAATAATAAATCGTGTACATTTTTCATTATGAATGAACATTTATCAGATAATAATATCACGATGAACAATTCAAAGAATGTGGATGAACAATTAAAAAGTCAAACTGACAATGAGTGTCCTTATGAAATAGAAAAATGTGTAAAGTGGATTGAAACAAATAATTTAGAAAAGGTTTGTATCTTTTTTTCTTTTTTTACATTTAATATTAGGGGATAAATTTTAATATATAAAAAATGATATATATTTATAGGTATGTTTACAATTCCCAGATGAACTTTTGTTACATTCAGTGAATATTGCATTAAATTTAGAAAAATGTTTAAATAGAAAAGTATATATTTTGGGAGACACAACGTGTGGCAGTTGTTGTGTCAATATAATTACTGCTCAACATATCAATGCTGATGGTATAATACATTTTGGACATGCATGTCTTAATCCTGTAAATCAAATATCGGTTTTTCATGTTTTACCAAAAAGAAACATCGATTTAACGTGCTTTCAAGATAAGCTTAAGGAAGCATTACAAGATACAACCAAAAAATGTATACTTTTTTATGACGTAGCTTATGCACATTTGATTGGTAAGTAATTATAGTTTATTTTAATAAAATTAATCATATTTTATAGTTCACAGAGCAATAGAATTATATTATTTTATTATTTTTGCAGAATCTATATACACCAGCTTAAAACTTACATTCAACAACTTAATTTTATCTTATTTAAATTGTACATCAAACGTGGAATTTACGGATTCGAAAAGTTCATCAGAAACTGTTGTCTTAGGTAGAGTATATAATTTAGAAAATGACTCTACGATAAATGATTATGAAGCAATATTTTTGGGAGAAAATGGGAAAACATTTTCAACGTTAGCAATGACTATTCCCGCGAAGAAATGGTATTATTTTGAAAATAACCGAGTCATTGAATTTAACGTATTAAATTCACCCTGGTTGAAAAGAAGACGATTTCTCGTTGAAAAGCTTAAAGATGCTAAAATAGTTGGTATAGTGGTAGCTACGTTAGGAATCAAAGATTATTTGAAATGTATATCAATGGTTAAAAATACTCTTAAACAAAATAATAAGAAAACGTATACTTTATCCGTTGGTAAAATAGATCCAACTAAATTAGCTAATTTTTTAGAGGTACGTACACAATATTTGGCTTACCAATTTGTTAATTTAATTATAATAATTAAAATGGATATTTAATGTGTGTTTTATTTTAGATCGATGCCTTTGTTGTAATAGCATGCTCAGAGAATGAGATATTTGATTCTCGAGATTTCTTGCGACCCATATTAATGCCTTTTGAAGTTGATTTAGCATTCAACGCTTCGAGGAAATTTTCTACACAATATTGTATTGATTTTAGGCAAATACTGCCTGGTGGTTTAAATTATTGCGATTTAAAAACATCCGATGAAACAGACATTTCATTGATTTCTGGAGAAATTAGAAATACAAATAAGGATAGTCTTTGTATAGATAAAATGGATGCTTTAGTTTTAAAAACACCAGGTAATGTTTTAGTTATAATTACGTATAAAATTAGTAATCAAAATCTACGTTAATACTCAATTTCAAAATAGGTGTTGTCGCTATTGGCAATGCAGGAGCGCAATTTCTTCAAGAACGATCTTGGAAAGGAGTTGAACAAAATTTAGGAGAAGATCCACCTTGTCCTGCACAGACAGGACGCAGTGGCATAGCGAGTCATTATCACAATGAATTATTATGTACAGATAAAAAAGAGGATATGAAAACGTAAAAAATTATTTATGGTTGTAATTACATAAAATAAAATAGAAATAAATATTGATTGTAATATCAATAGGAAATTATATCCGACGACTATTTATGAAATTCAAATTGTAACACGGATAAAATAACGCAAGATACAAACAAGTTTAATTGATATGACTTCAAGCCTAACTATTCATGTTGCATTGAATACAGTGGAATGCGAGAAATTATAATTATTATTTATAATAATTATAAATCTTATGTCCCATCACAAAATATAGCAAATTGGAGAAAGGAAGAAGCTTTTGTTAGAAGCTCGGTATTATAATCTAATAATGCTATTACCACTAGCGAAGCAATTATTCTTGGCATAAATAGATTTTGTCTTGTTTTTTATTTCTGCTGATATTGGAGTTGTTATCGTTATATTCGTTATTTTTGATATATTAAAATTACAAAAAAAGCACGGGAAGTATTATTTAATAAAAAGCATACTTTATAATCGTCTTAAGAAATATTAATTATCTTAGAAGAAGTAATATGATTTTTCTTTCTTTATTTTCTTGGTTTTTTCTTTTTTTTTTTTTTTAATAATATGATATTCATGTGTATACATAAGTATGTTTTTTGTTTATTTGTTATAATTAATCACCGTGCTGAAATTTGATACCAATTATTTCTCTTAAAAAAATACAATCCTATCGTTAATGACTTTGATATTGTAATCAATTTAACGAATTGATAATTTCAACCACATCCAGAAGAATTTTCAAAAACACGTTTCCATAATTTTCCATAAAGTAATTACGAACAAATGTGTACCCTCTTAAGCATACAATTTCTTCTATCTCTCAACACAAGTTTATCTCTCATCATATCACAGACAAAAATGCTTTGGTCTCAAAAATTGTTCTTTTTCTTTTTTTTTTTTTTTCTCTTCTTCTTCTCCTTTGCCTTTTTTTTTACTTTTTCGCAATTACGGTAAAATAATTCATACGTGATTCCCGCTTGTCTTTTCGCGAGTATATAATTATTCTTCAAATAAATCTTAAACTTCTGCTTAACAACACAAAAGCTAGTTTACGCGTGAGAAAAATAAAATCATAATAATAATAATAATAGTTAAAACAAAATAAATGAATATAAAAAATAGATGTAAAGGAAAAACGCATACAAAGAGTTTATCGTTAAAAAAAAAGCGTATGTGCACAAACAAACGCTTCTTTCGTATAAAAGCAGCAAAAAATAAAATAAAATAATAAATATATATATATATATATATATATATATATATGTATATAAAAAGCGTAGATATAATAATATTGTTGCCATTACATTATAAACAAAATTCTTCTTCTTCTTTTTATTGAAGTTCTTATCGACCGTAGTACACACTCGAATTTATCGAAAGATGTATATTTATATAACGCATTCATTCATCGTTATTAAATCTACAAGCATTTCTTTCTCATTATCTTAAACAAATTTTATTAAACTCAAATAAGAAAGAGAGATAGCACTCCTGGTCGAAAGGTCTTTTTTTATTTTATACTTTTTTGCTTCCTTTTTAAAAAAATTTAATTGAGTAACATTTTAAGGCCGTTTCTATACTATCTAGATCATATTGTTTCTTTTTACCCTTTTACAAGACGTACAAATCGGCCTTGAAATTTTACTCGCAGAAAATGTAATGCAAAAATCATAGAGTTCATAGTGCGAAGAGCATGTTTAATACACTACAAGATTGTAACATTCTATAGTACTCTAGAATTACAACACGTGATATCTCTTAAATGTTCTTTATATTACAAGTAATCACATACATAATCGTTCTTCATATTTCTCGATTATAAATTTACTTTTCTTTTTTTTTTTTTCTTTTCCCCAGTCGTATAGAAACCATACAACTAGAAATTATTTCTTCTTTAAAGATATAAATACAAATATAGTGCACACTTTATTCAGTATTTTTAACATGTGTAAGAAATAATTGATTCAATTAAAATACGCATTTGTTCATTCCTAATAAAAATAAAACGGAAAATTATTACTCGTCACGAAGATCCGCGTAAATCTGTGAATTAAAATAGATGCGTTTAAACGATTACTTTTTAATAAAAATGAACATAAATGTTTTGAAATACTTTTACAAAGATTAAGTATTAAATAGTCAATTAATAATCAATTGATATATATATATATATGTATATGTATTAACTTGTGATTACTTGTGTGTTAAACCCTGTAATCAAACAGTGGTTATTTTTTATAGCATATTATCAGCATGTGTATAACAATATTGTAGGTGTTGCTTTTTCCTTATATTATTCTTGCATTTCCAAAATAGTACCTAAAGCCTAAATACAAATAAATAGTTTATGATAAAACGTATATTTATAATAATAATAATAATAATAATAATAATAATAATATTACCATAAAATAGTTAAAGTACAAATGTCCGAACTTCCATGTGAAGTGAAAGAAACTGGTAATTACTTTTCAAAAATTTGCGTATAATGGTAAATGATATTTACTATAAAGACACGTATTTCATAAAAACTTTACATAGGCCACCAATACAATTATACTCGAAAAAATTTTTTCGTCATCTTCGTTTTTCTTTGTTTTTTGTTTGTTTGTTTGTTTGTTTTACTTATGTTTTTGTTAATGATAATATATTTATTTTGTATATATATTTATATACTATTGCGGAATATATATATATATATTCTCTTGGGAATTCTCAGACACAAAAGTGATTCGATCGATAATCTATGTTACAATATTTTTAAAAACAAATCAAATATAACTTCACGATGGTAACCGGTGATTTAACAATCAAATTTGAAATGATAATTATTACGAGCCTACAAAAGGAATAAAAAAAAAAGAAAAGAAAAGATAGATAGATAGAGAGAAAGAGAGAGAGAGAGAGAGAGAGAGAGAGAAAGAGAGAGAAAGATGTACGATTATAAATAATTAATCAGAACGCACAGACTTGTGAAAGTTAATAGGATTCTCTACTTTAATAAGATGTATTTCCTTTATCTTTTGTTTTTTTTTTTCTCATAAAAGCATTTTGATTTGTATATATTTAGACATACACACATGCTATTTATTCTTGTTGGTTTAACGTGGATGCATTTTTTTTCTAATAATCTTTTGCAGGCCTTCAAATTCAATCTTATTTAGGTATCGGATATTATCAATGTGAATTCAATTATCAAATACAAACATAGCAAGTATTTCATCTTTCTCATTTTCAATAGTTACATGCCATATCCGTTTTATAGATATTAAAATTTATTATCGAAATTAAGCATTCTTAGCCAAAAGAGCATCGATCAGTCTAAGTCTTGCCTTAGTTTGTTTGTAAGATTCATAAACGGTCGTGACTTGGGGGCCACGATCTTCCCTTTGCATACGACGTCCTGCTCGAGCTTCAAATTGTGCTTCTAATTCCTTCAAAGCCCTTCGAAGACGTTTCTTTTCTTCCCTGGTAATCCTTTGTTGAACCAATAATTCTTCTCTGAAAAAAAAAAAAAAAAACAAAAATGTAAAAAGAAAACAATTTTAATTATATTATTTGGGGATGATCGTCGTTTTTATAGATCAATATAATAATTTTAATTGCTATTAAATAATATATAATATAAATATTACTGTGGCATAGCATGAAGACTTTCTCCAGCGCTACGACTCCCTTCGCTACTACTGTGTTGACTATCACTATCGGTTGGAAGTTGGTCTACTGTTTCAATACAATCTAATATGCCTCTATGAGACATATCTGGTTCGCTAGCTCTTCTTTCCGCGTCCGTAGAATTGTTTGGCAAAGCGGATGAAGTAAAATCCATTGCTTCGTGTTCTAAGATTGTTGCTAACTCCGAAATACTATCCTTATTTTTACTCTGTAAAATTGGATGAATACAAAAATATATATATATATATATATAATAAAATATTGAGCACATGTTAATAATAATAATTGGAATAGGGGGCCCGTTGACTTACCGCTCCTGATCTGATAAGTAATCTTTTCAAAGTTCTGTATTTATCGTACAACGGCCGTACGATACATCTGTCATCTTTGGAAACTGGCCTACCAAAGGTATTTTCAATATGTAGTAGCGCCTTTTGTACCGCCGTTTTTTCGTCAAACAATTGTTCGTAGGTCAATTCCTCCATGTTGTCCGGTCGATTGCATTTCAATCGTTTCTCAGTAAGTTTCTTTTCCACCTCCATGACCATTTCCTCCATCGACGAAGTTCTTGATTTTTCTTGACTGTTATTATTATTAGTTGGACTTCCAGGAGTATTTAATTTGTTATTGGCGTTAGCTATAAGCGCACCAATCGGATCCTCCTTTAACATTTTATGTTCCTTCCTTAATTTATTTAATTCCGTACACAATCTTTTGATATCACGATTACTCATTTTGTCCGAATGACTTGGACGATAACCAAAGTTCTCTTCGAATTCATCCTCGTATTTTTTAATCTTCTTCTTCAAACCGTTAATATGCTTGGTCAAATTTTTTAGACCAATCTCTGATATATTCGGAGCATTTTGTTGCGTATCATTTTCCGAATAGAATCTCCTAGGTACCAGTAATGAATTTCTAGGTGATAGCATAGCTTCTACTCTTGCATCAGAAACTTCTTCCTAATATAATGTAAAATATATATATATATATTAGATTTATATTATATTTATAAAACATTGTTATATACATATTTTCTTAAAAGTACGTACGTTGCCTGGCCGATGTTGAAAACCCCAATTAGTTAGACTAGGATTATTTCCATCTTCGTGATCAACCGTTGGCGGCCGAGCTGGTGATGGAGACCTGCTAGGTCCACTGCTCAACATTTCAAGAAAACTTTGTGCCGGTGATCCGTTGTGATCATTTGGGCTCGGTGATACGGTATAAATATTTTCGTGTTCTTCATTTTCCTATAACAAAAAAAAACAATTAAACAACGTTATATTATAAAATATATATCATAATATCCGGGATGAAATACTTGTTCAATTAAAATGAATAAAACAAGATGAAAATTATTTTGAACAAGGATATTAATTAATATACCTTGCTTGAACTTTGATCGGTGTCCGGTACTTTATGAATTCTTCTTCTACGAGCTTGTCTTCTTCCTCTTGGAGTAATACTTCTGCTAAATCTTTCACTATTCCTTAAACGTTCAGCATCGCATTCGAATCTCTCGGTTGCCAACACTGCTTCGCACGGTGATGGTACCGGGGATGGTTTTTTAGAAACTGGTGATACATTTGTTCTCTCGTGCAGAGGCAGACCCCCGCATCTCTATAAAGATAAACACACATACATACACACATGGATAAGTTTTCTGATCAAAAGTTTGGAATCGTTTTTGTTTTTTTAATCTTTTTTTTTTTGTTTTCTTTTTACATCAAAAAAATCTAATATAATAATATACTGATCAATTTTCAAACGATCTAACGTTAAATATTAAACATTAACATAATTGTGAATAACGTTTTTAAAAAGATTCTTTTAACATTGTTCTCTTTTGTCCGTAAATGCTCTTGTACAGTTTATGCACCTAATTTTATATTACCAACTTTTACAAGAAGCACGGAACAATATTCAATTGGAAAAAAAAACACACTCGGATAAATTAATTGCCAAAGGGGGCGGGGGGAGGGAGTTTGCTTAGAATATATATCAAGCTATATCGTTAACAAAAAAAAATAAAATAAAATAAAATAATAAATGCAATATCGTTCCGATGAAAAATAGGAAAAAAGAAAAAAATATATTCATTCACTTGAATATAAGGAAAGAAAGAAAGAAAGAAATAAAGAAAGAAAGAAAGAAAAAAAAGAAAAATTAATATACACAAAACGTTAAAACAATACTACTCGTATAAGATTTTTTTGACAAATAAATCTACCTCGGTTACGTTCAAGGCATTCATTTTATTTTTCTTATAAATAATCCTGTTTTTCTCTCTGAATTTTATTTATTTTTTAAGTTGTTTTATTCCAAACTTTTGGCCGGTAGAGAGTGTGTATATCATCTACAAATAAGAAACGTTTGTTCTATTTTCTTTTTCTTTTCTTTCCCCTATAATAATTATTTAATATAATATATATATACATATAACGTATCTATATAATTTCATTGATCGGATCGATTTAAAAAAAACTTTATGAAATATTTCTTACCACACCATGACCCATGTCTTGTCCAAGTTGTGACAATATGTTCAAATGTTGTTCGCTATTGAAATCTTCGTGACTACTAACTCGTCTTATCGTATCCGCTGTATCGTTAGGTGTATCAAGAACACGTTCCTCGCTACTACTTCTGAAAATACGTAACACATCGATGTTAAATCAACTTACACATTTATTTATACTTTAACTGGTTTAACATTGAATAGAAAGAAAGAAGTTGAAATGATTATACGTAAATATTATAAATACTTATTTCTAAATAAGGATAATGTGTGTGTGTATGGTATGTTATATATATAGAAATACTTTTATTTTAGTAGAAATATGTTACCTTTAAAAGAAAACTATTAGATTAATGAGCTATTATTTCAATGATTCAAAACAAAAAAAGAAAAAAAAAACAAATCAAATGCAATCATACCTTATCAATTTTCGTTCTTGACAACAGGATTCACGTCGTTCCTTACGTTTACGTGGTTTTAATACGCAAAGTAACGATGTACCCTCGGATATTTTACGTTCCTCTTTCGTATCTTTGCAAATTGTGCAATCTTCCGTAGGAATTATACCGTTCAATGTATTCTCACGAATGCTGTAACAAATAACAAAATTTAACATATTATATACAATCTATTCTATATATTTTCTTATTTTAAAATCGGTATGTTAAACGTTTTCAAACTAGACAATAACAAAAATAATAATCTCGTGCATAGGATTTGCATTTGCTGTTTTGAAACTTGAAAACGACAAATCATTTTTCATGTAAAGTTACAATAAACTCGGTAGATTGCATTTACAGTCGTAAATATTCCATTTTCTCTTTTTTTTTTACGACTTTACGACACATTTGAATCTAATTATGTTAACGCATCCTTTTATAGACACAGTATTATGTAAGTTATCCAATTGTATGTATATATTTGCATATATATAGAATATGTGTATGTGTTATATCATCAACAATTTTGTTGCTATTTAGTGATGTAATTTTATACATTTTCTAAGAGAATAGCAATCAATCATTGTTTTAGAATGTAATTATCTAAAAATACGATTAAGGAAAACGATAATTATTCTGGAACGTTGATTCGATTTTTTTTTTTAATACTATTCTATTATAAGATTTATTCTTTTCTCAAAGGACATTACAAGAAATAACAACAACAACAAAAAAAGAATAAAACGAAAGAAAGGACGATTCTTTACTACCGGTTTTAGCATTTCAAACGTAAGGCCCGAGAAAGAAAGAAAGAAAGAAAAAAAAAATAAAAAGAAGAAGAAGAAGAAGTAGTAAAATTCTCTCGGGTATGAGTCATTTGACCGCTGATAATATTTCGTCGTTTCTACCACCATCATAATATAATACCCAACACAACAATTTACATTTTTGTAATCTTTTAATTTACTAACATCGTATAAAAAACAATATTATTATTCGTGCAACGTAAGCACGTTTTTTCTTTTTATATTTTTTGTTGTTGTTATTATTATATTTGGAAAAGAGTATTGCAATAAACTTGTTTCAATTTATAATATTCGAATACAATATCTTATTATTATTATTATTTATTAATATATTATTATATAAGTATCTATATTTTTCTTTTGTTCTTTTTTTATTATTATTATTATTATTATTATTATTTTCTCTATGAGATAACTGCATCATAATATTATTTTCCATGGGTGTGTAAAAAGGATTATTATGTATAAAATGAGAAAAATAAAATGCATAACATACAACACACATACATAAACAAGTGTAGCACAAGGATCTACGTTCTTGTATTTATTAACACAATGAAATAAGGTGATTAAAGATGAAAAGCTTGATTCGCGAAGCGCAAAATTTATTCACGAAGGAACCGATGAATCTATCACGCTCATTGATCTAACAAGTTGGCGGGATCAGGCAACTGTGATAATTCAATTAATCCTGATAAACGAGAACGAGTTTATGATGTGCTACCTACTACGATGTTACTTTTAATATTGATTAATAATAATAATAATGATAATGTGTGGTGTGACGATGATAATAAAATAATATTATTAAAAAGAAAAGAAAAATAAAAGGAATTAATTTGTGAACGATGCAACAAAGAACTTTTGCGAAACCAACCGAAAACAACATTTCCCCATTAATCGCTAAAAAAAAAAAAGAGAAGGTAATATATTAAAAAAAAAAAAAAAAAAAAAAAACTCTCTCAAATTATATCCGACTTATCTTACTGATTTATTAATTGTCTAAGGACGATAAAATGCAAACTATTACGGTTTTTCTGCTTGCACCGGTAAGAATTTGATACGTTAACTTGAAATCATTTGATAAGATATAATTATTTCTTTTTTTAATATTTTTTTCATTGCAATATTCTTTTTTTTTTGGTAAATAACTTATTTTCCTTTTTATTTCTTTTCACATGAATAACAAAAAAAAAATATATATATATATATTCTAATATTATAATACAGAAACTGTGTAAAAAAAACTATTTCTCTTATTGTTTATTGCGTATATATTCAATCAAATTTTTATAATTATTTTATTATTTTCTTTATTAAACGAATCGAAAAAGAAAAATAAATAGAAGATAAATAACGAATCGAAGTTTGTTTAGAAATAAGGAAGAAGATCGAGATTAAAAATAGAAGAAAGAAAGAAAAGAAAAGAAAAAAATATGAAATAGTACACATAAATTGCAGTAATAGATGAACGAAGAAGAGAATCATCCATTAGGTATAATTTACAGAGAGAAAACTCATCAGTTTGTTCGCGTAAAACTTTCCCATCGAATTCCAACGATATTCTAACAAAAGAAAACTTTTCTCTAATTCAGAAACAAAATTCATTTCTTTTTTTTTTTAAATAATAATAATACCAACAATCGAGACACGTGTCACACATATGTTTCTAATTTTTTCTTTTCTTCGAATTTCCATTTGACTTTTGTAAAAATACAAATTCCAACTTGACGAAGATAAAGACCCTTTTTTTTTTTCTTCCCTATTTTCTTTTTTCCTAATTCAACGTGGGAAGATTTACTAAGGGAATAACTATACTCTCTAATATTATTATTATTATTACTACGAAAAAGAAAAAAAAAAAAAGGGGAAGTTTATATTTAGTCTAGATAATAAAATAGGAAAATAAAAAAGAACAAAAAGTCAAATTAAAAAATATTACAGAATATCATTCTACTCAAAATTCCTTTCTTTTATTTTCCTACATTTTCTAAAAAGAGAATACACGATAATGATAGTATCCTAATCGAAATAAAAAAAAAAATAAAAAAAAAAAACAGATAAGTAAAATATAAACGAAATATAAATGAATAAATTAAATATGATTTTTGTTGGAAGTCGTATTGTTATTTGATGTTTTTCGATCTTACACATCATCATCATCATCATCATTGTCGTTGTTGTTGGTTGTAATAATAATCATCATCATTATTATTTTATCATCATAATCAATTGCATTTATATTCGGGAATAAAAATATGCAACTCACTGTACGCGAATAATATCCGTTGCTTCCGTTAACAACACTCATGTAATCACGAAGACCAACTTTCTTTTCCAATGGCGGAGTACCGGCGTAAAGAAGAAGAAGACGACGAGTCTCTCGGCAATTCGATGAAACATTTATAATCGACGGTATTTACGCACGAATATATACACACACAAACAAACACGCACACGTACACGACACGACACGGGATATATGATTTATAATTAATATAAATTTACAAAAATTGTGTATTCAACAAATAACTAAACTGGAAAAACTTAAATAGAAAAATAAAAACAACTATCACTGTATGTATGTATATATATATATATATATGTGTGTCTGTGTGTGTGTGCTTAGAAGAAAACGATGACGACGACAATTTTCACACGAATTCTTTTTAAAAAACTAATACATACATATAATCGTTAACCGAAATAATTAAACTTAATTATACTTCGTTAGACAATTATCTAACAAATTGTTCACTCTAATTGTCTATAAGAAAAATACTTTAACTGGTATGTGTACACTTGTGAATACGTACATAATACATACGTCTGTCTGTCCATCTGTCTGTCTTATTCTCACATTTACATTCACTCACATTAACATTAACATTAACCATTCACTCTTTACGTCTAACAAAAAGTTTCTTCACTAATCATAATAAAACTATTATTAATATTATTATTATTATTATTTTTGTATTAATACTGTTTTTTAAAACTGAAAATTGTGTGATATGCTGCTACTATACTAACTCAACGTCGAAAAGGCATAAAACGAACTGCACCGGTTGCCGGTCGGCTCCGGTCTCTATATCCGTTCGTGCTTGCGAGACTCGATACTTAAACGTATGTGTATATGTATTTGTGTCTTTCATTATATATATATATATATATATATATGAGTAAATACATCCTATCTTTTTACGTGTATATGTAGAAGGCGTAGTAATCACGCGCGTGTAGGAACTGCCTGCACGTGATAGAGGGACGTCGTATCCATTCTGCACATAAGTGTTGTTAGTGTTGTATCCTTTCTCTTTTCGTTTCTCTCTCTTTCTCTTTCTCTCTCTTTACCTTCCTTCTTTCTTACCTTTTATTTTATTTTATTTTATTTGCAAACAATATGGGCTGCAAACTACCGTCAAAAATGTATAAATGCAAAGAAAAGGTATTAACAATTACACTTTTGTTGTTAATTATTTGTAATATTTATTATTATTCAACTACCGAAGAATTTTTATTGACCATGTTTAACCTTTTTTTTTATTTCAAAAGTTTTGGGTTTTAGTTGGTACTGTCTGTCTACCCTCAACGTATTTATTTCATATTTTTCCTTTTTTTAGCAATGAATACCCCATTAAAACATGTTTATTGCGTTGAATACAAAAAAGAGAGAGAGAAAGGGGGAGAAGGGGAGAGAGGGAAGTTGCATTTCTTCCAAGTGCATCCGATCGCGTGCATCGATCGTGCACAATATGTGTTCTTTTATTTTTTCATTAATGTTTATTCTACAACGGGATTAAATAGGATCGGTTTTCTTATTTGAAATTATAATTCTTATGTTTTTTTATTTAATTTTGTATTATTGATTATTTGTAAATCTATTTAAATTCGTTTTGTTATTTAGAAACTATTCAAATCAAAATTGATCGTGCGATTTGCGATATAAATTAATTTGCATTAATTATCTTAATTATTTATCTCTGTTGAATACAAATTTTCAAAAAGGAAGTTGTTTATATATATATATAAATAAAAGTAGAATTAAGTAATACCAAGAGAAATAATAGTTCATTTGAAAATTTTCGAGTGTTGGAGGGGCATCTCGTT